GTAACGATCTTGTTTTTTACAGTGGTAGACCAAAAATGGGATAGCGGACTGGTCGATGCAGTTACTCTGCATTTAAACACCAGAATCTTATGGAAAGATGATTATAATTGTAGTATTTATGAAATTAAATATTTATCGACTTTGGCTTAATGCATGTTCAGAAATTCCTGCTGTTTTGCTACCGATATTCGAATGAAAACCCTTCAACACATAAGGTCTTAAAGCACGCCGTTTCTTTCTGATGCTTATAATCATCCTATCGGGAAACTGTCTGCATACCAAACTTCAAGTTCGAACATGAAAACTGTGGTAGAGTGAATCACAGGAGATGTTCACCTTACTGATTTCGCAAATATCTGCTTTCCTTCTATAGAGGACTTAAAGCATATAAATTCTGCTCGGCAAAGATCAAAAATTTTTGTCGCGTTGTGGCGCGACAGAGTGATTCTGTCCCCCCCCCACCCTCCTGAAATTGGGGAACGATAAAAGCCATTTTTTGCAAGAATACTTGCAACTTGTTCAAGAAACCTATTTTTGTTCGAAACAAAGCATGAATGCATTTTTCGAGTGTGTTAAAGATGGAAATACCTCGCAAATGAAACCTAGCATCCAGCGCAACTGCTGAAGACGATTTATAAAGGATCAACGAACCATCGATTGAGAATGCAGCCGAAAGTTGGATCAAATCAAAGTTCAGTTAAAGCAACTGTGGACAAAAAAAATTACGGAATTATTCATTGAAGTGACTCTCATGGCCAGATAAGATCCTTGAGGAATCCCTCATTACTGACAAGCTAATCTGTTTGATATTGCAAAGGGTTACAACATTCCTGGACTTTCAGACACCAGTTGCCATTACCGTATGCCGTATGTAATATCGGATATGACTGCCAGCCAATCCTTACCCCACGCTTGGTTTGCAGATTATCGACAAGTGGGGTAAAGCTTTCATGCAGTCAGTTCGTGCCCGAAGCTACCCAATCATTAACTTCGACCTGCCTTTGCTAGCATGGGTTCGGTGCACTGCCAATCACGATACTCATCAGTCGCTTGTCGTTCCGTCGTAGAACACGATGGAAGAATGAGAGATTTACTTTCTTTATTTCGTTACAAGGAAATTTAACGCTAATCCGTTTTTGACATCTTCCACATTTGTGTCTCCTCAGGTGATTCAGCATTTGCGCGGATATTAGTTAGTTTGTATGTGAGAATTCTGCGCCAGAATAGGGTTCAAACGCGTGTGTCGAATTGGTTTTCTTCATAGTAAGGGTCATTTTTGCTGGGGTATACGTGAGTACTGATAAAACAGTTGCCAGAGATACACGGAGTAGAATTAATCGAATCAAAGTAGAATTTGATATGAATGAAAATGATGTTGAAAATCGTTAAAGCACTGAGTAAGAACTTTTTCATCATTATTTTTGATTTTGAAGAAACGTTGAAGCATTAATGAGGAATATTTATTGATAAGAAATCGTTTGCCTACAAACATTGTACTGAATAGAGAAATGTATTCTACTGTATAGAGTATTCTATCTTGTAATTGCCTTGACTTAGCTAACTTATTGGGCCTGACGAAATGTCCCCCAAAATGGCACATTTCACTGCCAAACATCTGCTAGCATGTAAGACTGAATTTCGACAAAAGATTGAATTTATCAAAATAACGCAATTATGTTTGATGTTCCACTGCGTTTGTTGATCTTTTCATTTATATCCTGTTTCTTGAAGTAGTTGACCTTCGCTTTCAAATCATATCGTTGAATATGCTCACTCGAATGATCAAACTCAAGAAGAAAGTGAACGTCTTCTCATCATTTATTGCTCTGAAACTTGGCAGCAGGTATCACGCACGTGGTTACCCTTTTCCCCGATGTGACTGGTGCAAAGTAAGCCGTTTTGTTGCCGGAAACAGAATACAAAATATCGTAAAAATTGCTCTCCTCAACATAGCAAGGCTCTGTGGACAGTATTTATTTCGTAGCCCTGCCAAGATTTTATTTTTATGAAACAATAATTATGATATTCTTACCCTGGAGCACCATCTTCTCCATCAAGCCCTGGTAAACCAGGGGAACCAGGTGGTCCGGGAGGACACTTCAGTTCAATGCATGCTACAGTTTAAAAATGATTAAACAGTACGCATTTTATTTGAAACTTACAGCACGTTGGTCCAAGCTGATCAGTGATTGGTGGCTGAACATTCATTTGTTCATGAATATTTTCCACTTAAAACAAAATAATTTTATTGATAGGTCAGTGCACGTGGTATTAAACTTAAATGTACCCGACGGTGGCTGATATGGAACGAATCCGGCGCTGCTGCCTAAAAATTTGAATTGATTAATTCCCATGTATCGTTGCACAGATTTACCGCATAGATATACTTAAGGCAAATACAGATAGATAAATCAGCTATGTAAATTCAGATTTATCAGGCAAATTATCCTGAAAAAGGTAAGAAAAAATTTCCATTATAAAACTTTCGCTTAATATGCATACCTTACTCGCCTGTCACCTAAGAACGGTCCTTTAGTGAGCAGACAGCCCAATCAGGTGCATGCGTGAGTTTTTCTCAGACTCCTTTGTCTAGCACTGAAATAGGGACGCGCTGTTTGTTTATATTCATGCATTTTAACAAGTGCTAGTATTTTTATTACTGAACAAGAGAACAGAAATAGAAAAACT